TCGGGACAGATACAAAGTCCATGATCCCCGTCCTCGCGTATCTGAATGGTTGCAGCCAAAAAGATAGGTTTCCTTCAATCACTTGGTTTTACAATAGTGAACTTAACCTTAGTAACCAGGGTAAAAAATAGCTGTACAAACCGAGTAGGAGGACGTAATCAACGTGGTACTTGCTGTTTACTTATTAGTAGGAAATCAACGAGGGACTTGCTGATTACTCACGTACGCGAGACTCGAGACACGCGTGATCATTGCCCCCACCAAATACATGTGTATTAGAGGAAGGAATTTCCATAATCCAGTATTAGGGTACTGGATTGTGATGATTTCCAAAAATATTTCAAACCAACAGTGTCAATTCCAGTACATCTGCCCTGGGTTTGCAGTAATTAAAAACCAGTACCCTACTTAGTTCGCACTGAACCAGTGCCCGTATCAAATGCTTACAAGAGTATTTTTCCGGCGAAGAAGTGAAAGAATAAAAAGTTTAACATGATCTCGACGTCGTGGAAATGTCGACGCTAGGCACCATCTCTTATGTTAAATTTTCAACGTGGAAATGGCATTAATCACTTCGAACGTTTATTATGCATTAATAATTAGATCAATGACCCGAAGAACATCGATATCTCAAATGAGTCGGGGTTGAGCACCTCAGAAAAGAAGTGTAGTTATAATTAGCTGTAATTTGATATATATTGGCAGCGTTGCATCCACGCACCCCGTAGTCGTATTAATATCTTGTTAGAGTTCATTCTTGTGCTACGTCTTTGTAAGCTTATCTCGAAACGCTATTTTTAAAAACAAAATGCGATTCCAGAAATTTACAATATAAATTGTAAAATTTGAATTTAGGAGTGTTTTGTTTTACAAACCATGTTATACGAATTGAACGTTAAATGAACAATACCTACTAAAAAAAATATGGAAAATGGCTACAGAATACAAATATTTTGCTTTTAGTGATACCAAATATGATTTGGTTTCCAAATATAGCATGCTACATTTGCTTTTTTCATCAGCGACATTCTCTCAAGTTGTTTATTTTCAATATGGCAACGCCTACTCAAGATCTCAACTCGGGATCGGTCTTGCAGCTTCCTTCTACTACGGACGCATCGATTCAACACCCCGGAGAGCGTTCGGATCCTCTGTGCAAGTTCGGTAATGCTCGTTTCGTAGTCGACTGTCTGACATCGAGCTTACTCGAAACTTACGACTTCTACGGCTTGACATTTCGATTCAGATTGACGATTTCTCAAAGCAGGACTACGGTCTAGTCTACAGCCGAAAAGAAAATATTTCTGAGGATGAATTTTCTTCTCAAAAGAACGCTCGGGAGAGGTGTAAAGACTTTGCCATTAAGTCAGGCTTCCAAATTTTTGTGAAGCAAACAAGTGTCAAGGGCAACAACTCTGGGAAAGCAAAGTATCAGTGCAAGAAACTCAACGGTGTCCAGGTTTTTGACCGGGAGACGCCTTTGGACAATTTAGAGTGCCCGTTTTTCATCAATGTATACGGCAAAAATGGCGTTTGGAAGTTGACGAAGGCAAACTTTGCGCATAATCATGCCAAAGATGTTGGATTTACTCGAACGCCTTGCGTTGAAGGTGCAATTCCTCGTCCATTGACGGCTATTTGGAACACTACACAAGACATTCAACATCTCACAACTCTGGTTATGAGAGATTTGCTACCAATGCACGCTAGATCTACGACATCCTTAGATGGAAGATCGATACGTGAGTTTCTCAAATCCCGTCGTTTCACAATTTCAAGCAGCGCTATCTCTAGGATGAAGATGGACATTGACGATAGGCTCCGCTGAGACGTCATTGAAAGTTACCAGAAACTAGAGGCGTACTTCAAGTTAATGGAGGAGCAAAACCCCAATTCTGTGTGGAGACTTGACCGTGAAATTGAAAACGCTACTTTTCGACGAGCATGCTTCATTCTAAATGTTGGAATTCATATCGTCAAAATGTGCAAGCCTATTGTTGGTTTGACGGAACCCACCTGAAGGGAGTAATGAACATGATTGGCGTTTTCCTCGTTGCAACTGCCAATAATTTCAACAATCACGTCGTACCTTTTGCACTAGCGTTGGTTCCAGTCGAAAACTATGAGAATTGGCACTGGTTTTTAACAACTTTGAAATTTGCAACAAGCTTAGTTAAGTTTACAGCAATTTCCGACCGCCAGAAGGGCCTTTTAGCATTTGTGGTTGACGTTTTTCCCGATGTT